CTTGCCTGTATTTTAAGTAGATATAACCCTAATTTATAAGCATAATCTAACAACTACAATAATTTATTCATAAACATCACAAATAAAAGTTTATAAATACATTTCCTTTCTCATTAACACACATCAACATTTAAGAATATCACTGAAAACAAAGAAGTTAAAAAAAAACAATATTTTAAATAAGAAAGCTATAATATTATTTTTTAAAAAAAAACATCTTTATGATTATTTATTTTCTTACAATTTTTGGAATTATCGGTAAACTAGTATCAGTATCAACTACTTGATTTAAGGAACTGATCAAAAGAAAAAAAATATGTTAATACGTTCAATTTCAGCTGGTACTGTACTCAACATTTACGGGTTTGTATAGCAGTCTATGAAGATAAGCTGCTAAATAAATTAGCTTTATATAAGAAATTTATAATTTATGGGAGTAGAAATAGTTATTATAAAACTAAAGTTAAAAAACTATTATAATATCATTTAACAGGGTTGCCACTCAAATCTGGAAGAAGAAAAAAATTCCCTGTGTTTTCCCTGTATGTATTATACGCAATGTATTAAAAGGAAACACAACAATTACTGGGCTCTTGTGTGAGCTACATTGGGCTAACTATATTTATTACTTTTAACTGCTGGAAAAACTTATGAGAAAAAAAAAGGAACAGTTGGAGATACTTAAATAATGCTATAGTAAATGAATGTTTAGTATAGCTAAAATATCATCCTTAAATATCCCATAGACTGCTATTTGAGTGTACACCACTTTTTTTTTTAAAACGAAAATAAAAAACAAAGTTCCCTGAATTTTCCTAGTTTGTAAAGAAAAACTCAAAATTCCCTGCATTTTCCCTGTTAATTTTGGTGATTTTCAAATTCCCTAATGCAGGGTTTCCCTATTCTCCCTGTGTAGTGGCAACCCTGACTATACTAGTTTTAATTGCAGGAAAAAGTTAGAGTAAAAAAGGAACAGCTGAGCATACTTAAATAATGCTATAGTAAATGAAATAGTTTAGTATAGCTGAAATATCTTTCTTAAATATCCCATAAATTGCCTTTCGAGAGGTCACCATTTTTTAAAAGAATATAAAAAAACAAAATACCCTGTATTTTTTCCAGAAAAATCTAAATTCAAAAATCAGGGAATTAAAGAAAAAATCAGGGAATTAAAGAATCAGGGAATCAAAAATCAGGGAATAAGATTCAGGGAATAAAGATTCAAAAATCAGGGAATTAAAGAAAAATCTAAATTCCCTGTTATTTCAGGAGATTTTTAAATTCCCTGTATTTTCCAGGTTTTCCCTGTGGAGTGGCAACCCTGTTTAAAGATGATAATAAGCAAAAAAAGGAATATTAAAATTAATATTTTTGTCAAATTAAACATAACACTACATTATTAATTTATTTTTTGACTTTCTCTAGCATCATTAATTTTCGACAGTTTTCTATTTAACGTAATTTTATTTCTTCTAAAGAGAGTAAAAATAAAGTATTTGAGATTTTATTGTACATCAGGCAATGATGATTGTATAATAGTATTTTTACTGCACTAATCTTTTGAAGATGTTTATAAGAGTCAATGCAAATTAAATTGTTTTAATAGAATAATATCCACTAAAACATTATAAAAGAAAAACAAAGAGAAAAAAATGTTCATGCACTTAAGCAAACCAAATACAATATTTCATTCAAGAAAGCATTAACAAAATGCATTTGAATATTTTCACCTATGTAGGAACATACAATCTTTGTTCACAATTTGTAAACACATTTTATAGATAAAATATAGATATATATCTTTAAAAAATCAAAGCAAATAGGCTTACACATATACCTAATTTTAGCATTAAGAAACAGCTCCGAAGTTCAATTCTCTCTGGATAGAGAAAAAAAAACATACATTTCACAATTCATAGAACAGAAATTGAGTTCAATTAAAAACAAAATTATATTCAACGAGCATGCCCATAGTAAACAAGATTAACTTCACACTGTCTGACCTCGAAAGAAGCTGGTCGTATTTTAGGAATACTTTGAACAGAAGTTGAAGTAATCAAATTTACATGCGGTATTAATAAAAAATCATTCTTACATATGATTCAATGAACTTTTCTGTGCTACGAGTTATTTATAACACACAAAAATTATACTCTTTTTTAAATTATTTGAGAAAACCAAAATTAATATTTTGCTCACATACATGCTTATTCATATACTACGTTAATAGCTAAAAAAAAAAAAAAAAACATTGAATTTAACCTAGATCATTTAACACAATAGAACTTGAGTTTTATAATAAAAGAGTAAGGTAAAAAATATCAGTAGGGCATTTTAAATTAATCTCAAAAGAAATAGAATTATTTGCATTTAAATATAAATTGACAATATTGAAATTCAATTAAATTTATAAAGAAATTATTACATTTTTTATGAAAAGCTTGGTGGGATTTGACATTGTTTTTAATAATAAAAACCTTATATTAAGTCTTGTTAAATGAGAGACATTGAATAATTGGACAAAGAAAGTCATATTGAAATTAAAATTAATGTTTCCAACTTTCTTAAAATTAATGAACAGAGGGGTAAAACGTTTAATTTAAAATATAACAATAATAATTGTAATAAAGCAAACTAGGACATTTTTTTCTCTAAATAATAAGAATTATAGAATGGCTGCTAGCACTGCTTTAATCAATGTAATAGAACTATTGGTCCATAAATTTTCTGCTATAAAACAGCATCTGAAAAAAATTTGAATTTAAATCATTTGTTTTATTAGAGAATTGTTTCTGGTTCTTTCTAAAATAATGTAAATAGAAAATTGCTTTATGACTAAAACTAAATTAGCAATAATAATAATGACTGATAAAAAAAAAAATTTGTTTCAGATATCAATTTTTAAAATAACAATTTTATTTAACTAATAAATTGTTTAAATAACAATTTTTAGACAGTTCAGTGATTTAGAATGGTTTTATAAACTATACAATACGTTATTACTACAAATAACTGTACATTATTATTTCAAATAACTGAAGTTTAATTAAATATTTATCACTATTTAAGATTAAAAGTTTTGACCAGTTTTTTTTCCTCCCTTTCTGCACTGTTCTAATAAAATTAATTTTTGAATTATTGATTGTTAATGTGATGAATAGCAAGTCTATTAATCTACATATCAAACTTTTATTAAAGATATATTTGAAAACATTTAATGTAAAAGGAAGTTGAATATAAAAATTCATCAACAACAAGCACATGTTGATGTAAAATTTACTTGAAATAAAGTATTCTTCTTTGCTTTTCAGAAAATTTGGTCCATTTAAAAACTGTCAGAATCATCAATATCAAAGTTTTTAAATACGTTTTGGTTGCAAAAAATGAGAAAATTAAATTTAAAGAAAAAAAAATTTATTTGTCAAATTTGTATTCACGAATGAAGTTATGACCTGAAGTTTAGGAAGAACATTCTTAACAATAACACTATGGAAGAACAGCAAATAAAATTCAGCATTTCAATAACTTATCATAGCAAGTTATAGAATGCGAATCCTTAAAAATATCTTTTTCCTTATTTATCATGACATGAAACAAAATTTTTAACTACAAATCATTAAAAAAAATAGACAAATAAATTGACATTTCCGTAACAGAATGGAATAAAGACATGAAACTTTAATAGTTAAACATGAACTCTTTGTTATATAATTAATAATATTACATGAATAAAGTACAGAAATAGGACATTTTTAAAATAAGATATCACCATAAATTAAGTTGTAATTTATCTATACCATACCAAATCTAGAATTCTACAGAAAATAATTATCTACCTTAATTTTCCAATAATCATAATTTTTTTTTTATAGCTGAGAATAAATAAAGTATTAAATAAGAAGAAGTATTATTGTTATATCAAGTTGCAGCAAAATTTTCATTTCTTTTTCAACTAGTTACTTTAAAATTAAGAGTAATAAAATTAGCTCATTTTCCCCTGTTTTTCAATTGACAACATCACAACTTCCATTCGATTCTCAATAAATTTGGATCATGCATTTACATGCATTATATATTTCTATAAAATGATTTTAATGAAGAAATATAGTTTGAAATATGAAATAAATTTATTATTTATTTTTAGTACTATTCCAATTTTAGATATATTTAATAATAACTAATTACAATCCATAGTTCTTAAAATATTTTTTTTATATAAAATCTGTTTTGTATCACATAAATTACAACTTAAAAAAAAAAGAAAAAAAGAAACAAGATGAGTGAAAATAAAGAAATGTTTCGTGTAGAGTGACGTCACATGAAACCACGCCTTGTTTCGAGTTACATGATATCTTCACAATTTTTAATTGCTTTTAACTCTTAAATTGGACGTTTTTGCGAATTTTTTAAGTGGATTTCTGACTTTTTCAATATTGTTTTAACTAACATAACCGGTTTTTCAAAGGTTTTGTGACAGAGCATTTAGAATGGCATATTCTCCATTCTTAATTTTCCAACTATCATCAAATAATACCGTTTCATCTAAAGATGAGTAAGATAGAAAATTTATTAAAAAATATTATTGCCACTTTAATTTTTTTTTTAAGATTAACAACATAACATAAATAAAGTACTAAAATATAACATATGTGACATAAACTATTATTATAACTAAAGTTATAAGCTATCAATATGAATTAATTATAGAACTCCATTGATAAAAAAAAATAATTTAATTTTCGAATTATCATTAAAAATAAAATTTTAAGATAAAAATAACTTAAAAATTTATTTTAAAAAATATTATTAACATTCCTACATAAGTTATGACCAGGAACTAGAACAGGTTATTTTTACTCTTCATAATGCCCTTTAAATAAATATATAGAATTAATCTCTTTAACTAATAGATTCACGATATGGTTCATGCAATGGTTATTTGACTTAAATCAAATCAGCTTGATCTGAATCAAACAAACCTAAATTTTTTTTTAAAAAAAAAAGAAAAACAACTCTTAACAGAAAATAAATAGGGGAAAAATAGGATGGAAGAATTTTTGGATATGTATTGGTGGCAAAATTTATAAAATTTTATAAAATCTTAAGTTCAGCTATAACAGGATTGCCACTCAAATCCGGAAAAAAAAAATTCCCCGTACATATAATACTAAAGATATTAAGAGGAAAAACACAACCCCTGTGCTTTTGTATGAGCTGTATTGAGATAACTATATTTATTAGTTTCAATTGCTGGAAAAAGAGAACAAAAGGAACCAGTGAACATACTTAAAACAAATAACGCTATAGTAAATGAACCAGCTTAATATAGCTGAAATATCATCCTTAAATATTGCATTAAAATCCTTAAATATTCGACCTTAATTATTGATAAAATAATCCATTGCACTTTGAGTGGTTACCATTTCGTAAAAGACAAAAATAAGAAACTAAATTCTCTGTATTTCCCAGTTTCTGAAGAAAAACTCAAAATTCTCTGCATTCCCTGTATTTTCCTCCCTGTGGAGTAGCAACCCTATATAAAATCTTTAGAATTTAAATGACTTGATAGATAACTTTTTCATTAGCTCCCAGTTTCAATACCTAATTTAGAGTCTGAATGAAAATCTTCATTCGGAGCATTGGAAGAGTAATCGTGAGGCGATCGCATATACATGTACAAAGCAATAAGAGTAGGAATGATTACAGCAATCACTATAATAAAAACTATCAAATAATTCCATTGAATACCACAGTCGTAAGGATCTTTCACAAGAGGTTGAATTTGTGGGGCAGTTAAAATTACAGTTGCAGCTTCGAGTGAATCTTTTTGAGAATTGGTACTTAACATAATCTTTACCAAATCCTCATCCATACGCTTGAAGAAAGCGGCAGTATCTTGAGGAGAGGGACAGCGTCCGGCAGAGCCTATACCGATATTTATGGTCCTCGTGTCGCCTTCCTCGACGATGGTGGACGGTTCGGCTTTGGTCTCGGATGCGACGGGGAGAAGTTCTGTGAGAAGGCTGTATTTTTTCACTGGTATCTTTAGATGTTTCAGCGCATAGAAATCTTGATCGCTCATAAGGTTGTTAGCTCTTTTGATATCAGCTATCTACAAAAGTTAAGGAAAAAAATCATTTTCTTGCATCATTATTAATAGTATGACAATTAGAATTTGATAAATAATTAGAACTTAAATAGTAACACAGAGGAAAGTCCCATCCTCTTGATGGGACTGCGAAATTGGTGGGACTTCAGTAAGTCAAGAAAATAGACTTACTGGATATTTGTTCTTTAAGATAAACAAACATCAAAATATGTGTTACCTATTCAATAAAAAAAATAAAGGATAATTAACCTCAACAGGGTGCATAGCCAAATATTCAAACGAAAAATAAGCACCTTTTAAGTACTTTTTAAGCACTTAAAAAATATTTTTAGCACTATATACACTAACAAAATGCAAAATAATTTTCAAAGACTTTACATGATCATGATAAAATAACTANTTCAAACGAAAAATAAGCACCTTTTAAGTACTTTTTAAGCACTTAAAAAATATTTTTCAGCACTATATACACTAACAAAATGCAAAATAATTTTCAGAGACTTTACATGATCATGATAAAATAACTAGTTTCTGAGAAAGAACTCTTTTCTAGATTATATTAGCCCTTATAAAATGATCGAGAGATTTTTTGGTTTGATTTCAGAGGGTGGAAAATGAAGTTCGAAATTAAGAACACCTTGCAAAATGCAGCAGAGTTGCACATGAGAAGGCAATAATCTCACTGAACGCAGGTCAGTAGACGCACATACCGACTTGCAAGTATTTCATCAAACATGTAAAATGATTGGCGCTTTCATACGTTGTGGACCAAAGATACACCAAACTGAATTGTGGAAACGTTGAATAGAACAATGTAAAGAGCACGCGCTTGCATAATACGTAGCAAAAACGACATGGTAACGAAAAAAAAGTAATAATCAAATGCGTGATTTGAATTTTGCTTATCTTAATAAAATTACATTTCAAAATATAGAGATTTGAAAGAAGAAAAAAATTTAAAGTTCATAACAATAACTGTAAAAAAAAATGATTGTAATACCTCATGATTTTACGATATAGCCACAAACACTGCGAGCCCAAATTTAAAACAAGTGTGTCTAAAAATTATTACTTAATGCATGATTTGAACTTCGCGTGTAATAATATTAATGTGTAAAATTAAGTGAATTAAGGTACATAAAAATTCTAAATTAAAAATCATACAAAAGAAANTTATTATAATTAAAGAAATAATTTTTTTAAAGAGTTTTTGTGTTTTTTTAGATTTTAGAAATCTCACTTAACTTTTTGAAATCTCACCTTGCTTTTGAGGAAGGGTGAGAAATTCTCACCCATTTTTTTTCTATGATGAAAACACTGCTAGTGTGTCTAAAAATTATTACTTAATGGATGATTTTAACTTCGTGTGTAATAATATTAATGTGTAAAATTAAGTGAATTAAGGTACATAAAAATTCTAAATTAAAAATCATACAAAAGAAATTTTAAGAAAAAGTTCACTATATTAAAAAATATTATATAGGTTCATTAAAACCATAATATTTTGTTACCCCAACTGTATTCTTAAAAACACTTTTTCTAACATTACAATAATTTTAAATCTGATTAAAAAAATTAAAAGTTACACTATGCTTGCTTAGATGACCTGAGATAATATTACTTCATGGCACAAATTCTATTCAATGAATTCTATTTAATGAAAACTTTAAAAAAAAAATTAAATGTAACAATTTCTTTAAAAAAAATAATAAGAAATTACACGGTGCGGAGGGAATTCATACGTCCTGTGAACAGAAAAAGCTCTTGCAAACAGAAAATGAAGTGCTACAGTTTCCGTTCAAGTTATACGCTCTTTACAATGCTGAATTTATTGTATAGGTACATTCCTTCCTTTAAATGAACATATGGCATGAAAAATAAAGATATAAGAAACAGTAAGATGATTTCAAATATTTCATTTCAGTTTACTTTTAATGTTCTATATGTAATAAGTCATTTCTAATTAATTAGAAAAAATAATGAATTAGATAGTAAATATGAAATTAGTTTCTAATTAATCAGTAAACAATAAATTATTCATAATTCTTTAATAAATCAAGGGTTATAACTAAACACATAATAAATTATTAACTTTTAAAAAATTAAATCAATAGCCTAACAAAGAGTTTAACTCTTTCTTTGAAATTTTTTCACTCTTTTTCTAATAATGCTACTACCCAGTTGATACCAATTTGCAAATCATTTTGCTGCAGGATTTAGCACAGATGAACTTTGGGCATTTTTCATTCAATTTCCTAGCAACACCAAAGGTCACAAAAATCATCATTTAAAGATTAATTCAATATAAACTTATAGCAATGTTAAAGTAATTTTAAGTTCCTAGAATAAAATATTTTACTATTACTTAAACGATTTCTATTTCAAACTAGAAAAAAATGTCGAATCTCAATTGAGGGCATTTTCACATGAAATATTGAGAAGTTTAGGAATATTTTCGTAGTGTAATCTGTTCTCTCAACTACAAACGGGGAGATTTCTGTATCGTGATTTATGGCAGAATAATCGCCAAGTCTTGGAAACTACCGGGCAGTGGCCCGTGAGAAACTAAAAAAAATATCACAGAAAGGGAAAACTACATGTTTTCCATCTCCATGTTTGTTTGTTTTTAAATAATTTGCACGTTTAAAATCTGTTTGGCACCTTGGCGATTGTAGTTGGCACGACAGATCACGATACGGAAATATCTCCCTACAACTATCAAGGTGATAGATTTTAAACTTGCAATTTTTTTTTACAAAAATATGAAGAATCCCTTTCTGTGATTTCTTTTCTTTTTCCGCACGACTTGTTCATCACGATACGAAAATCTTCTAAAATTTTCGTTTCCTCTTAACTTTGTATTTTAAATTACTAAATAAAAACAAGTAAAAAAAATTTGCACAATTTCACAGAATGACATAAACCAGACGCTATTATTCACAGCTAAAAAAAAAAAAAAAAAACTACTAACAGGACATTGGTACTTCACTGAAATACTCTGCAATGTTTCAGAATTTTCAATCGTTAAGTCTAAAAATTCACAATTCTGAAATGGATCTAATGAATTGGTATTTTCTACAAAGTTGCCATTAGATGGCTTCTTTAATTTTCTCAACGAAGAAGCCTCTACAAAATGTTTAGAAGGCTTTTTAAAATGCCTTATATCATGAAGAGTTACTTCCTCATCGGAACTATCCAGGTCCAAAAGAGGTTTCTTCTCAAACATTGCGTTTTTGGACTTTCGTTTACTGGATGTAAAACGTTTGTCATATTTGTTGGAAGGGTTCTGACGACGTTTAGAATTGGATGTCATATTTAAAACTAAAACATCATTCATTTCAATCCAGATATCACCGTAAATTATGCATCAACATTGTAATAATAAATCTTGATATTTAAATATACACGTAACAGTCATCAATTAAACTTCATAACAGCAGAGAAAAAAAGTTTGTTGTTCTTTCGATTTTGCACCGTGGTGAGTGTAATGTTGCCACTCGGAAATAAAAACTGACATATGGGACTTACATACATTAACAGGCTTGTGTGTTCAATTTAGGCTTAGAAGCCTTTGTCGATTGATGGACAATACAGAAAAGGACAGCATGATGCAGAGTAACAGCGGTATTCGAATCCGCTACCTCCACGCTTGGCTCAGCATTTGGTGGACCAGGGAGGCCCCAGACCAAATAATATAAAATACACAACATGGGAAAACAGTTAAACTTAAATCAAATAAAAAGATGAGCACAACATGAAGATATGAAGCCTAGAGTTTGTCACCATTAAAAACGCAAATAAAAAATAATTCCAGTTTCCAGTTAAAATATTATTGAATTAAAATCCAAATTAATAACAAAAGTAATTATTATTATAATTTATTTATAACAAGAAATCATTAAATAATTAACGCATTTCGAAATAAATATTACAAATTTGAAAACTGGATCTGCGTTGGATATTAAGTATAAATTGAAATATCTCTCAAGCCTACAATAAACATCCAAATATCCATATCTAAAACATTTCAATAGCTAATATCTAAGAGATATCCAAAATATCCTAGGACTTAAATATGTCTGGATAACTGAACAATATCCAAATATCATTATATCAGATATCCATAAAAATCAGAGACATCGGAAATATCCAAATCCAAGTTAGTAATATATCCGAATATCCACTGGATATTTGAATACGTAACGTTGGTGGAATATTGGAGGCTGCATGAATAAGGGGCTATTGGCGACGGTGAGAAAAATATTCAAGAGAACGATCCGAAGACAAGCCATCACAACTTTGATTCAGCGAGGAGGTGATAGCTCCCCCATTTTAAGGTTCGATGAACTGCATGCGAAGTAGAGCACTTTACGGTAGAGCAAATAAACGAGGACTGATACCACTCACCCGTTCAAAGGATAGAACGTTCACTTTCCAATCAGGTGAACCAGGTTCGAATCCCAATGATGGCTTGTCGGTACGAATTCCGCATTTGGCTTGCACCAACCACAGTGTTGACGTAAAATATTCTCAGTGGTAGACAGATCATGGGTTAAAGTCCCCTTGCCATCGGGTTAATCGTGGGAGGCTTTCGTGGTTTTCCTCTCCTTGTAACGCAAATGCGAGTTAGTTCCATCAAAAAGTCATCTACGAAGACAAATTTCTCCCAACATATGATCCAGGAGTTCACTCGTCTTCAAGATCTAGATTATGTTCAAAGTTACAAGGCCATGGAGTTGAACATAAATAAACGCAAACCCAAAATTGTGTCGGCTGTTCAACGACGGTTAAAAAATAAAATATGATACCACACACCATTGGGATCTTTACAAGCTGATAAAGTGATCACCGGCCACCCGCACATTAACAGCAGTCAGTGATGCTTCCCAAGAAGTGCATTGTTAGACACTGATTAAGATTGATCTACACTGTGAACGCTCGAAGATATCAAAGCATTCGTGTTTAGGTACTTTTTTTCATCGCACTAGAGCAGCACAATGGGCTACTGGTGACGGTCTGGGAAACATCCCTGAGGATAATCCGAAGACATACAGCACAATTTTGATCCTCTGCGGAGGGGATGGCTCCCCTGCTTTTGTAGTTCGACGACTTACGCACGAAGCCGAGTACATTACGGTAGAACAGTTTAACGATGGCTGATGCCGCGCACCCTCTGTCCCTACGCAGACTGATCAAAGTGGTCACCCACCCACTTACTGACCGCAACCAGTGGTACTTGACATCGGTGTTCGGTTGGGAACAGCGTCCTCACTGCGGGACTGAAGCATTTGTGACATTCTGAATACAATATTGTGCAACATCCAACGATAACACGATTCCAAATAAATTATTCCTATTTATTTCACAAATAGCTAATTTAGCGATAAAAAATTCCAAGAAAAATGCATAAAAGACCATAGTAATTCCTGTTTACCGAAAAATACAAAGAGTGAAATTTAAATATCTTTTAAGAATTACTTTTAAACAATGATATATATCGTTAATGCAATATTTTTTTCTCAATATTCCTGTGCATCCTCTTAACTTCCATATGAGAGGTTAATAAGTTCGTAAACTAAACTCTTTAAACGGATGATACTGCTGCTTACTTCGTCCTAGACGTGTGTAGATAGACGAAGACGCCAGTATTGGAATAGCGATAGCAAGAAGCAGCCCAAATGAAATGTTATTAATTATTTTTCTGTGTTGTTTAAAGACTATTTTACTATCGATAGCTATGAAAATAATAATGTATTCATTCAATAAAGCTCACCAAACGCTGGGTAAAGCGTGGAGGTAGCGGGTTCGAATCCTGTTGTTACCCTATCTGCATCTTCGTGCTGTCTTTCTCTGTATTGTGCTATCTGTTTTCTATTTGACAAAGGTTTATAGGCCTAAATTGAGCACACAAGTCAGCAAATGTATGCAATTCCAAAAAAATAAATAAATAAATACAATCAATTAATACTTTGAATTCTTTTTTTCTTATGTTTTATATATTTGATCACCTGAAAGTCCGTGTTGTAGACTTAATCTGTGACATTTTGATATTTTATCAAAATTTTCAGACGCTTTTATTATTGTTTTATTACTAATTGATTTTTTTTCATTTTTAAACTTCGAATGCATTTCTCTTTTGTCACATAATAATATTATTAACTTCGGTCATCTAATGTCTGGCGATCAGTTCACTGTGGGACAAAGAAAGAAAAGAAGAGTAGGAGTAATGCAGGAATAAGAAAGCTAGCTAATAAATTGTCAAAAATATCTAGTTATTAGATAATACATATTTGAAGCTCTTGCTTTCATTTCTGCTAAGTCTTACAGTGGACTGATCGTAAGGACACGGTTCCCAGCAGAACACCGAAGTCAAGCATCACTGGCTGCTGTCAGTAAGCGGGTGGGTGACCACTTTGATCTGCCTGCGTAGGANGCGGGTTCGAATCCTGTTGTTACCCTATCTGCATCTTCGTGCTGTCTTTCTCTGTATTGTGCTATCTGTTTTCTATTTGACAAAGGTTTATAGGCCTAAATTGAGCACACAAGTCAGCAAATGTATGCAATTCCAAAAAAATAAATAAATAAATACAATCAATTAATACTTTGAATTCTTTTTTTCTTATGTTTTATATATTTGATCACCTGAAATTCCGTGTTGTAGACTTAATCTGTGACATTTTGATATCTTATCAAAATTTTCAGACGCTTTTATTATTGTTTTATTTCTAATTGATTTTCTTTATTTTTAAATTTCGAATGCATGCCTCTTATGTCATATAATAATATTATTAACTTCGGTGATCTAATGTCTTGCGATCAGTTCACTGTGGGACAAAGCAAGAAACGAAGAGTAGAAGTAATGCAGGAATAAGAAAGCTAGCTCATAAATTATCAAAAATATTTAGTTATTAGATTATACATATTTGAAGCTCTTGCCTTCATTTCAGCTAAGTCTTACAGTGGACTGATCGTAAGGACACGGTTCCCAGTAGAACACCGAAGTCAAACATCACTGGCTGCTGTCAGTAAGCGGGTGGGTGACCACTTTGATCAGCCTGCGTGGGGATCGAACTGAAATAGCAGCGTAAAAGGCCACATTAAAAGCCCCCTAATCAGCCTCTAATTATTTCCTCTGATAAGGTACATTAGTACCCGTTAATATAATACGTGGTACAGTTTGAATATTATTATTGGTCAATATTAAGGGGAGACACAGGGCCATGTTCTGATACAAAATATTGACTTCGAATTTCCGCATTTTAACGCTATTATACATATTCATACATAAGTAACCTATAGGGCCACATGGTAGGGCTCCTATTAGGCCTATAACTATTTCCTCTCGTAGGGTACACAAGTAGCCGGTAATATAATACTTGGTCTAGTTCAAATATTACGGGTCCCGCAGTGGAGTGATCGCTAAGACACGGTTCCCAGCAGATCACCGAAATCAAGCATCACTGCCTACGGTCAGTGTGCGGGTAGGTGACCACTTGGATCAGTCTGCGTAGGGACAGAGGGTGTGCGGTATTGGTCCTCGTTAAACTGTTCTACAGTAAAGTGCTCGACTTCGCGTGTAGGTCGTCGGGCTACCGAAGCGAGGGTGCCATCCCCTCTGTAGAGGATCAAAATTGTGATGGCATGTCTTCGGATCAGCCTCAGGGGTGTTTCCCAGACCGTCGGCAATGGCCCATCGTGCAGCTCTAGTGCGACGTAAATTAACTACAACAATAACAACATCAAATATTATGGGTCAGTATTAAGGGCAGATATAGGGCCATGTTGTAACACAGAGTGTGGACATCGAATTTCTTCATTTTAACGCTAAACGAACCACTCTATATGATTTGATTTGATTTGTTCTTTTACGTCACACTGGAGCTGCACAATGGGCTATTGGCGACGGTCTGGTAAACACCCCCCCCCCACACTCTATAGGAAACGAAACTGTTACACAGAGGCCTTCTTATCCGATAGGTATCGCCCACCAAACGCTGTGCAAGGCGTGGAGGTGGCGTGTTCGAATCCCGCATGAACCGTGGATGTATTCTTTGTTATGTCCTTCTCTAATTTGTTACATCTCTTCATCCACTTGGTAAAGGTTTATAAGCCTAAATTGAGCAAACAAGCCTGCAAATGTACGTAATTTCTATAAAGCAATAAAACAATTTTTCTTGCACTCCGATGTAATTAAAGGAAGGACGCAAAATCCCAGAAATAAAAAAAAGCATCGCATTTTTCTTTCTTGATTAATTATAAGTAAATACTGCAGATATAAATCTGAGCACAAATATCGGTATGTAATAAGGTTTTGTCAAATTGATCAACAATTAAAAATTAAACATTTTGTTTAATGAATAGATTGGCCAAGAGACCTATGTCACAGGTTCGTGCATTTATATACGATAGGATCCGCAGTGCTTGCAAGCAATCGATGACGTATAAAACTGTAAAGGCTGTTGTTGGAAACTATATTTTACAAGTGGGAAAACAAATAGCGCAAATTAG